GTGCCGTTAGAAAAATCCTCACTGGACCAGAAGGCACCCAGGCTGCTCTTTAGTGTGATTTCTTACTCACTCAGGTGTCCCAGATGCCTAGAGTGGAGCTTTTGCAAATACTCCTTCCTTGAGCTTAATGCCTAATCTGTGCCCTAGACTTGGCCCTAGACCTAACTACAGTCATAGAATCATAGAACGGTTTGGATTGGAAGGTACCTTCAAGATCATTTAGTTCCAACACCCTGCCATAGGCAGGAACACCTTCCACTAGACCAGACTGCTCAGAGCCTTGTCCAGCCTGGCCTTGAGCACTTCCAGGGATGAGACATCCACAACATCTCTCTGCAAACTGTTTCAGTGCCTCACCACCCTTACAATAAAGATAATATCTAATCTAAACCTACTCTCTTTTAGTTTGATTCCATTCCCAAGTGTCCTGCCTTATAAATGCTCTTATAAAAAGTCTCTGTCCACCTTTCTTGTAGGCTCCCTTCAGGTACTAGGAGGCTGCAGTTAGGTCACCCTGAAGCCTTCTCTTCTTCAGGCTGAACAATCCCAGTTCTCTCAGCCTTTCCTCATAGGAGAGGTGCTCCATCCCTCTAATCATTGCGGTGGCCCTCCTCTGTACTCAGTCCAATAGGTGAGATCTTTCCTTGCTCCATGTCTCACCTCTTGTCTACACCTCCTCGTTTGTGTGGATTTGGTTCTTTTCAGTCAAATGAGGCAATCATATCTTGCCTTCTTGCCTCTTGGGGAAATAGCTCTAGCCAATGTCTCCAGGACATCTGCTAATTTGTTTTAAGGAAAACATCTTCTGACCCATGAACATTACCATTCCTGAGGGATGAAAGTACCATCCTACTGCCCCACAAGCACACCCCTAGGCTAGGCTATTCTTTTGGTTAGCATAGGCCACGTGCTTCAGCATGGTGGCCTGGAGGTCCCTGTCAGAGGTGTGGGAATTCCCATGCACACAGGTGTCTAATGCAGGGCTCCAGGTCCTGGATTGCTCTTCTCAGCATTGTGTGTTGCAGCCTCTGACTTTTAGACACACTGGTACCTTTTCAGGTCTAGCCTGATGGAATGTTTCTCAGCTTACTGTGAGGCTTTGAATACAAACCACAGCCATGGTGACTCCTCACAGACACAAGTTCTTTGTTAAATCAGCACTAGGCTTTGTCACAAGTCTTGTCATTCTGCTATGTCTAGGCTGAAACAGTTTGCTATTCAATACTGTGGCCCTCACAAGTATCGAACAATTATTTGGGCCAAGAAAATCAAAATGCCATGGAAACTGAAGTGGGATATTATATGTTCTCACAGGGTAAGAGTCATTGGCTTTCTCTGCACAAAACATGCCATCAGCTCTTGAATAAAAACAGGTTGAAAGGCTCATCAGGACAGCATGGGGAGAGGCTCTAATCTGCTTTTGATAGCATGGAAATTGCACACAGACTTCAAGATTACCCCCTGTGTGAAGATTGAGTCACCTGTGACTCATGTAGCAAGATATCTTCTCTAGGACACCAGCTTTTCCCTTTGAGCCCATTTCTGTGCCACTCCCAGCAGCTGACCTGCTTCAGAAAGATACTCAACCCCACTTATCTCCTCTCAGAGATAACATCCTCTATGAGTCACAACTACAGCACAAGGCATTTTCTAGCTGGAGAGGTTCAGTGGCTTGGCTGGAGGATGGAGCTTCCCTCTGCAAAGCTACCTCATACTACTGTCACGTTCTGGTTTGTACATCTATCATCATCAGCATGAGAGTATAATAATGCCCTAGACACCATTTCCAGCAAAGGACAGTATCAACCCCTGCCAGGACTCGTTTTTTAGCCACTGCAGATTTCCGGAATGGCCTTTTAATAATTCTTTATTGCTAATTCCACTTTCTATTGCTCTGCTCATCTACTTAGACCATCTCTTTAGTCTTCTCTGGGTATGAGATGAGCATCATATTTGAAATCTGAAGCAGCAGGCTCTGTGTCCTACTCTGCAAACAGCAGGCAGCAGGCGAGACTGGAGAAGGTGCTCAGCATGAGAGGAAACACAAGATGGAAGCAGGAGGAGTGAAGAGCAGCCTTAGCTGGAATAGTATGACATGGTCAGTGGCAGAAGTAATCAGAAGCTACTATTTCTTAGGTGCCATTTAATGTCCAGCAAAAATAGCAGGAACTGAGAGTATTGACCACCTGGAAATATTTGATTTTTTGAGATTCAAACGCAACTAAATATATCTTTCTTTGCACCAAAGGAGAATGCAAGAACCACTCTCAGAGACCCATAGGAGAAATGAGGCTCATCAGAGTAAGTTTTTTTTCATCCTTGAAGCTTTCCTAGGCGATTTCCTTGTTCTACATACTTTTTTCCCTTTAAATATGGGACTGAATTGCATTTCACCATATAAATGTCAGAAAAGCCTTACATCAGACCATTTGAAGTGCAACTCTCCCATGATATCAAGACTGTGAATTAAAGTTCATTTTTGGCGAGTTCACAGAGAGTCTTGGTCCCTATCTGCTAAGTACTTTAGGTTTCCAAATAATTTCACAAGCTGTTCCAGATAAGCACACAGTAAGAAGGTGAGGCAAATAGACTTATGACTTCTGTTTTTTCCCAGCCAAGTTTTTCATCTCAGAAGTTACAGCACAAAATCACTTGGACATTTCTGTTACTGGTGACCTCTAGACTGTGCTAGCATGACAACAAATTACTGAAGAAGGACATGATGGCACTGATATGGCCACAGCACCACAGGAACCAATTACGCCCTCACACATGGGGTATGGCTTTTATGAATGGGGCATTGAAGATATTTGGGGTTTTATTGTTGTTTTCAAAGCTTGCAAACTCAGGCTGGGGTATTTGTGGTTGTTAAGTTTCTAAAACTGGGTAGTCAGAAGGGGGGAGGTGGGAGTCAAGGTGGGAGTCCTTTCTCATCACAGTTGCTTGTGCTTTCGTTCAGCCTCTAGCAGGGAGTGTTTAACAACAGAAACAGAGACTGCAGCTTGGAAATTGTAGTTCTTTAATTCACTCACTCATGGTCACCTCTGTGATCACAGAGGTTACATTTATATAAGTTTAATATTTATGAGCCATGAAACAAGATGTTTCTGGTTAATAAAAGGTGAACTTCTATGCGAGTATGTAAAACTGAACTCTGTTTGGCCTTGATATTTTGAAGATAAAGTATTGAACTTGAATCTAGAAGAGGAATTTGTGCAGACCCTCCTGACCAAAAAGGTGACACATGCTTGCCCAAGTGAATTAAATTGCCGTCTTTAACCTCTCGGTGCTGCTACTGACATTAACATCATCACTTAGCTGCAAACAGTCCAACCCCTTTGTCAAGAAACTCCAGCTCCTGTCATCAAGGTGTTCGTTAGTTTGAAATGAGGACCTCTGACAGAGTTTGGACTTCTTCACAACCCTGACCTCACTGTGCACTATGAAGACGTTGCATTATTTTAAGTGCTTCCCTCGTCAAGTTGCCTTCCCTGCTGCTCTGATGTTCCTGTTTTCATACGTGTCCTTCATGTAAGGAGCCGAAGAGTTTCTGTTTATTTAAACACATACTATGATCTCTGCTCTTCTTTCTCATCTCCCAGGAAAATCAAAACCAAAGAACAGCAAAACCTGTTCTATCTGGCACACAGATCTGTCCCCCACTGCAAGTTGTGCTAACTCCCAGTGAGGGATATTGTGACTTTTCCTGCTGTTTGCAGGCAGAAGCAGTTCTCCTGCCTGAAATCTCACAGTAGTGGTGCCACTGAGGGCTCCAGCCATCCCGTGCAGCCCAGCAGTGGCTGCTGGAGGGCTGGCTGGTGCACCTCAGGAGCATATTTCCTGCATGTCTGCACGGAGTTTGCCTTTCCAAGAGGAACCAGTGACAAAATGTAAAATATGCATAAACCTAATCTTATTAAGAATGGTTTCCTGATTGTTACCTGTTTCTCCTGCCATGCAGCTAATCTTAGAGCTGCCATCCTCTGTTCTCTGTTAGCACACGCTCAAATAGGTGTGGGTCTCCCACTAATGCATTGTCACTAGCTGTCAGTGACTGCCTGTACCTCTGCACCCACCTAGTGCAGCAATTGAACACAGTATTTGCACTCAGAGCTTCGCACCTAATAACACTTCAGCACCTCTTTAACTGCTTTATCCATTTTTACCCATTTGCAAGCCTCAGGCTCCCTACAAGTAGATGGTAAGTGGAGCTTGTAAATTAAAAAACTATATGCTGCAGGCTTTTAGCATTAAAAGACCCCAAAGTTTCCCTAGTTCATACCATCTGCCATTAACATCAACTTCACTGTCAGCAGGTAAATCTGGTGGTAATATTTGCCTATTAAAAATTCTATCACAGGCTTCATTCAATGCCATTATAACTTTCCAGTGTTAGAGAGGAAGTTCAGAGGATTGCAAATGTCTGAAAGTGTTCTGCCCAAGGAAGATAAATGTCCATTTTAAATTAACGTCTGTTGACAGAGAACTAGAAAGGACTTAAAAGAAAGAAGAAATTAAATCTGTTTGTCCTGGTATAAATGAGTTGCTCTTAACAGGCTTTTCTGGTAACACAGAAGAGGCAGTTGTGTCCAACCACAGCCCCAGGGGGTAAGGACAATATTCTCTACTGGACTCAGATATTGATCTGCTGGGTAGCCTAGGGCTTTCTGACATCTCCTTCTCCTAGTTCTCTCAGCTGATGGCAGGACCAGGAACTGGAGTAAATCATATTAGGACAAGAGGCCACGGGCTTAAGGTCTGTCAGGGGAGGTTTAGGTTGGATTTTAGAAAGAGATTCTTTACAGAGAGAGTGATTAGGCATTGGAATGGCCTGCCCAGAGAGGTGGTGGATTCACCATCCCTGGAGGTTTTTAAGATGAGGCTGGATGTGGCACTGAGTGCCATGATCTGGTAATCACAGTGGGGTTGAATGAAGGGTTGGACTTGATGATCTCGGAGGTCTCTTCCAACCCAATTAATTCTATGATTCTATGATATGTATTTGAACAGCAAGGACAGTCATCCCAGAGGCCCACCTTTAAAACATAGATCAAAACCTTTTAAACCTTTTTTTTTTTCTCCAGCTTCCTTATGGCTTATGTTCTTCTCTGGGACACTGTTTCCATTGTATGTCTTAGCCAAATAAGTTCATGACTGTGAACAAATTGGTGATGCCATTCTCTCTCTGATCTCAGTCATGCTTTTGAGAAAAATATAAGAGCTTTGAAACCAAAAACTGAGGCCAGCTTGAATGTATGATATGAAAACATCTTGAACCTCTGTGCTTTAAATCTTATCTTTTTCTGACCCGTGAAAACATTCTGAAGTTTTGTGCTTTAAATCTTATATTTTCTGACCTGCTCTATGGGAATATTACACATACTACAGGAATGTTGTAAAGAGTAGCTAGAGTATCACTGGGACAGTCAATCATTTTTACAGGGGATGAAGTTGGGCCATGTTCCACTAGGGGACTTTGGAGATCTCAATTACCATGTAAGTACAAAATGCTATTGAAATGTCAGACATGTGCCAAGACAGGGTGGACTGATTCAAAGGCACAGGGCAGAACACTTCTGGAGTACCAAAGTTACGCTTGGTGCTCTGGGGCATAGAAAAAGCACAGAATAAAATCCAGTTCAAATAAATAAGATCATCTTTCTTATGAAAGAGAAAGTGATATTTAGTATTTCTCCCTCAAGGCTTATAACTAGCTGCCACTCAGGCAGAATAGATAATACAATTTTCAGACTAATCCATGAAATCAGGAATTGGAATACAAACCTTTCCAAGTGTCATTTTTCCTTCTGGGTACCATGACTTCTCAGTGTGGTGGTTCTAGTGAATAAGGAGGCTGTTAGCCCTCTTCAAGGTGTGTTCACAAGTCACAGAGGAAGAGTCTGCCTAAGATGGAAAGGCAGAAGGATAGGTTAGATAGATGGAGATAAGCATGCACAAATCACTAATGATCACTTTATGAATATGTTCTATCTTCTCATACATTAATGACATCCCACACTAAAATCAGGTAGAAATATCTTTGTTGGTATGGATTCAGATTCAGTTATTGAGGAAATTCAGAAGCTTGAAAAACCATTCAACTCTTTGCTAACTACTGTTTTTTCTCAGTAACTTCACGAGTGCACTGGAACTTGGCAGAAGTCTGCAGCTGTGGTAAATGGGCTTGCCTCGTGTTCCTCCCAAGATGAGTATGGATCCCTAACATCGGACCATTAGTTCCTTCCTGTTCTTGCCTGCTCTCCAGTTATTCTACTCCCCTAACTGCTGCAGCCTTCCTGGAATCTGGAGCAAACCCCATGCACATCCAGGCTGGGAATGCAAGTGCCTCAACACTGGGCAATGGCACGGATGCGTTACCCTGCACTGTGGGGAACCATCTTCCAGGGTCTTCTGCAGCTTTTCAGGTATGGGTGGGATCATGGAGGGGAGATGACAAAGTTTATGTGCTCAGTGGCCAATCTGTTTACATGTGTGGAGAAGCATCATGGCGGGGATGCCTGGCAGCACTGTGATGCTCATATTATCACTCACGCATCCGAATTCTGGCTGCAGATTTGTTTGCTCTCTGTCACAGAGGAAGGCACAAGCACAGAAAAGCAGAAAACAGCTAATTACCCGTCTCAGTTTGCCAGGGAACCAAACTGATATGTTTCAGAGAGAATCACAGCCTTCAGGCAGAGATTGTGGGTGAGAGGGATAAAAAGTGGTGAAGTAAGGTTTTCCATGAGAAAACTAACTTGTGTCGAGCTGATAATGAGTATTGTCATTGCAGCATTCAGCTGAATCACTTCCCAGCAACAAGCTCTCCAGCAAGCAAGCAGGAGGAAGATAAGCCTCCATCTTCTTTTCCAACAGCTGTATCCTGGTTTTCTTCCTCTTTCAAAAGCAGAGAACTGGTCTAGTGCATGGTGGGAGTGAATTCAGTGAATTCTTTCTGCATCTTTCTGTCTACTCTACAATAGATTGACTGAGCTTTCGTCATATGAATGATGAGCGGTATGAGCGTTTTTTCTGCAAAACCTTTATTTGTGTAGGAGCCAGACTACCTTTGCATGGGAAATATAATTCCTTACAGAGTTATCCTTTATCTCACAATCCAAATCAGCCATCACCAATTCAGCAATCTGAGACCACGTACTGAAACTTAGGTGACCAGTCATAGCCCAGGCAGCATGAATAGTGAATCAATGAAGTCTGCAGAAAAGTTGCTGAGGAATATTTGGTTGGGCTTCCCAGCAAGGAGAGACTAAAGATCACTAGAGACTACAAATCACTCCATAAATATAGGTCTGTGAACAACTCATGAACAAGAAGAGAAGTGAATAATTCATCATTATTTGCAGGGAAACATCTCATCTTTATCCTGCAAACTAAGCTAATTAAATGCAGGAATTATGGAGAGATTAGGAGAAATATTTAAGATTAGAATTATACATATAAACTATATACATATAAATTATACTTTACATATAAAATTCCATAACTTGAACATTTTTTTTTTCATTTCATTTTTGTAGAAAGTTTGACCAGGAGCTTTCCATTACCTGCAGCTTTATATTGGCAGCCAGCAGAGAGTCTCTGCAGCAAACTTCCAAGATATTCCTCAGAATATGTTTCTCTGAATAAGCTGAGAATTTACTTATAAATGTGAATTACTGAGGCTTGAGTCCTGTGGTGATCTTAAAAAAAGAAAAAAAAAAGAAAGAAAAAAAAAAGAAAAAAAAAAAGAGAAAGAAAAAGAAAGTAATACTAATAAAGAATTTCAGTTTCAACTGACTTTATGTAACATCCTTTATTATCCTTGAACCTTCAAATTTCAGGGACCCTTGCTTTTCTAAATCTCTAATTGTTAAGGAATGGAGTCTACATCAGAAGTGAGAGGATGCTAACTCAGCGAGTTTCTTTTTGCTGTCTCAAGTCAGACTGAAGACATTGCTGTAGTATAGTTTACCTTTCCGATCTGGTGTGTGCTTTCTTCCTGCTGAAGTTTTCCGGGGCACATTCCTTAGAAATAGAGAGGTTTAGAGACAAAGAGCTCTCTGCTGGGCATATCTGAAACTGCTAGGCCATGGAATAAAGTAACTGGGACTTCTTATTCACGGTTTGCTGACAAGTTTACAAGAAGTCATCATTGTTGTTAAACAAAAACTCACAACTTGTCCCAGGCCTGGATTTCTACTGAGGTCTACATGTTTTGCATCTTTAGGAAGGATCCCAAACATAGCCAGCTGAATTTGATAAATTAAAAAAATATCAAATTGCAAACTTGGGAAGTTATGTCTCTAATAGCTGGTGTTTTAAGCACCTAAAATTACATGCCAGCAGATCCCTTACTCCTGGTAAACTCTTACTTGTTACTCTTCCGATGTGTCCAAATTGCAAGATAAAATTCTAAACTCAGTAACTGACATGTAGAAAGACCTAAATTTCTTAACTCATTATGCAGAGAAGATTATCTCAGAATGGCATGTCATCTCAAAACTGGATTTTTATACAGTTTGAGAATTAAAACTGTACTAAAGATTATCTTACATTCAACCAACACATTGTCACAGAATCTATTTTAAACATTCAGAAGTGTCATTATCATTATTATTATTGCTCATTGCCTAGACTAATAAGAGCTCCAAGCTCCTGCCAAGGTTATAGAGCCAGTACAAAAAGAACTTTACAGTTATCATTTGCCTAATACAGTTCAAAACCTTCAAAATATTTCAAAACCATCCTTAAAAGAAGACAGACCATTTTCTTCAAATTCTGCTTGGAGGGGTTTTTGCTTTGTCTAAAAAGAACAAAGAACCATATTTTAGATTTGCAATCAGGCCAAGACTGAAAACAAATGCAGCCGTATAACCTGCTGTGAGACAGAAGGTATAAGAAATTATTTTCTGAACAGTGTTGCAACAAAACATAATTTTTGAGCAGATAAAGAAGAACCTTCTCTTTAAGTAACAGGACTAGAGCAAAGTCTGAACCATCAGAGCTTGCCTGCCTTTTTTCACTTTTATGCACTTTGTCTCAGTTTAGTCTTGGCAAAACACCTGTATTTGGTGTGGAGTTGTTATCTTTTAGGCAGCTTATTGTTGCTAGAAGATTTGGGAAGGTGACCATATGTGTGACAAACTAAAACATAACACACTTCTGTGTGTTATAGATGGAAAGACAAACGGACCCAGCATCAATGAGTAAATGTTGGATGAATGCATCCCCCCTGAGCTGCAGATTTGGTTGTGGAATGACTCGCAAATGGATGTCTATGTCTAAAGGCAAAACAGCCAATAACCAGCTTGGTACTGGCAAAACACAAGGCACCACCTCAGCTGATGTGACCTACTGGAGGCTGCATCTGCCTGGCAGTTGCAGTGCAACCATGAGCAGTCTCCCCTGGGGCCTTCACAATCCTACTCTGAAACCATTAGTTTAGCTAAGACTGGGACAAAGGCTTTGGTCACACATTTTCCATGCCTGAGGGGACTGCTTAATAATTTTGTCTGCTTAATTTAAAAGCCCTCTACTATCAGTCTTCTCCTCACAGTTATCAATGGACCATGATCAAGCCACCTCCTAACATTCTCTTTGATAACTCTTGGAGGATGATGTCTTTAGCATTCATATTGTCCTTTTTGTTTGTTTGTTTTTAAAATTTCTTTGCACCTTTTCATTGTCCTGTCAGCATCAAAGACATTAGAAATAGAAACAGACTGCAGGGGTGTCTTCAGCAGCCCTGCACAGAAAGGCAAACCTCAGCCTCCATGACAATGGTAAGCATCCTTCTGGGTATTTACCCAAAGTCAGCATTGCTGTCTGCTTGCCATTAGCTTTTGGAGACCTTCCCTTCCCTTGGTTATCCTCCATTACATCTCATACATTTCAAGTGGGAGTGCCTAATGAATGGGAAGTTTTCAAGCTTACCTGATGGCTGAGTATGAGGCAACATGGCAAATATTAATTGGGACTCTATTCTTGACCACATGAGACAGCAGGGAATGAAGAACAAAGTCATAGTGGGCAAACTGCCCGGAAGCAAAAGATGCTGCCGCTGACTACAGCAACCACTTATTGCGCTAACATGCTGGACTTGTATTAGTTTATTTAATGTTTAGAGTGAATTTCTTCCATACAAGAAAATATTTTCAATTGTGCAAGAAAGAAGAAGTCAGTTTTATTCACTTTTTTCAGGGCAACAAAGATACCCACCTAAATTGAATGGAATCCTGCTCAGAAAACAACTGAAGAGCAGAGACTGGGCAGTATGAGCAGGGGCAGTCATGTGATCCCTTTGTCAGTGTCCTGAAATGCTTTGCTTCCTCTTTCGAGTAGTGATGAAGTTTAAACTGTGTGAGATGAAACATCTGTGAGTATGCAAAGGTTTGACAGGGGACATGGACTGCTTCTGGCACAGCAAGATGCACAACATGCATTACACAGAAATATGGTGAGGGAGGCACAGGACTCCTGGAGCAGCAAAACCACGACAAGGGGTTACGCCAAAGACAGTACACAAGTGAAGTTAATAATTGGGGGGTGTGTGGGGGGTTTTTTTGTGCCTTTTTTTTTTTTTATAATTTATTTTAATTAAGCACCTTGTTTCCAACTATACCATCTGTGGTATCATGTTTGGTCTTCATAAGGTACTCTCAAAAGAAGGATAATTATGGATTTAGTAACAAGATGGTACTTTTAATATTTCCTGTAATATGTTTCTGGAGTCTTACCCATATGTTTTCAGAAGATTGTATCATAGATAATCAGTGGGAAGCCAAGAACATGGTAATAAATATGTATGGTAGCAAAGCTGAGAAGGAAAATAATGTGCTCTCCCCCCAGACCCATTTCCTGCACTCCCTCTAAGACAAGTAGGTAGTAACATGTTTTCATTCCAAGTATCTGGTGGCTGGAGCAAAGAAAGCATCCTCCACCATGAGGAAAATGGGCAAAATAGAGGCATATTAGCATGAAACAACATCAAAGAAGAGAATAAACAATTTCCCTCCTTAAAATCGTAGTTTTAGGATGGCAGCAGCTTCAAATGAGAAACTGTGTGAACTCCTTGACACGCTAGATTACATTACATTACTCTGAGGACAACACAACTCACTCTAAAAGCTGCAGAGAACAGTTTGAGAGCTGGTAGACAATGACAGGGAAAAAAATCTGCCCTAAATCTGGGAAGAGTTTTTGACAATTATCTGTTCAGAAATACTTCAAGCACAACAAGAACAGGGTCTAAAGCACAGCTTGTAAACTGCCATAATTTATTAAAGTGAGGGCATTTTGAGAGCTGGGAAGTATATAACTGGGCCTATGGGAAAAAGAAATGACCAAGAAATGAAAGAGTCAGAGAATGCTGCTGTAAAAGGTAAACCATGTAAAAGAAGTTAAAGATGGAAAAGTCCTGCTAGGTCATGTAAGTCAGTGCCCTTACAAGGGCATGAGAGAGAGAGACAACAAAAAAAGTGCTCTGGGCTCAAACATTATACACTGGCTGAGGCTGCAGCAACAAATTACAGAGAAAATGGGCAGCCACCTTCAGGGAGGGTCTCTGCTGTGACCTCAGGGGAACCAGAAACACGGGGCTTGCCTAATCTTGGCACCTGCCTGTTATGTCTCTCTTGGAAAGAGAGGAGTATCTTGGAAAGACAGTTATAAATATCTGCCTTAAGGCTATTCCTTTTCTATTGCTGGTAAATAAAGGACAGTGAAAAAGTCCATGTATGAGAGGACATGAGGTCAGCGAGGGAGAGATGAGACAGAATTTGGTGATGGATTGGATCCTTCTGGCCAGCTATGTTTGCAATTATTTGTAGGAATAGGTCAGTGACAGCAGTGCAAGCTGCTTTGCTCAGAGGTAGCAGAACCCAGAAACAAGCATCAGCAAGTAGAAGAGAAAATAGGAGAAAAGAGAAATGAAAGGATGGGAGAAACTTAGCTGAATTTATGCTAACCCAAGCAGTACTGGGGAATAAGAATGGCTTTCTCAAATGCCTTGTAGGGGAAAGGAGAGATGGCCAGGAAGTAGTTTCATTAATAAGTGAGGGGAAGATGAAAAAAATAGTATTTCTTCCAAGACCAAATTACCCCTTTACTATTTTTTTTCTTGAATAGGATAGAAAAAAAAGGGTGTAGCAATTGGGAAATAATGAAAATCCTAACCAAATAGCCATCACTGTAGTGCAGGTTACAGGAACAGTAGGAAATTTTGAATATCCATCATACAGATCAGCTAGTCTGGTTGCACTCATCCTCAGGTGATGAGGGAATAGCCAGTTAATTTACAGAACCATTGGCAATTATTTTTGAAAGTCATGGAGAACTATGGAAGTCCCAAAGGCTGGAAATAAAGCAAATATAGTATTGATTTACACAGAAGGAAGAATGATCTTGGCAATTACTGCCCAGCACTTTTATCTTCAATCTCCAGTAAAATCATCGACCAAGCAGTACAAAAAGAGCTATTAAAAAACTTCAAGAGGGCATTGGAAACACGAGCAACAAGTGACATGGGATAAAGAGGGAATCCATTCTAGGGGGAGATATTGATGTTTTATACATAGAAGACTAGAATCAAAAGGTAAGGGATAAAAGTAATTAAATTGAAACAGAAGTCTCCCTTCAGCAGCACTTAAGCACATGCTTAAATCTTTCCAAGTCAGTTTTGAGCAACCACTAGATGAAAGCAAATGCTTGTTTGCATTCTTGAAGTTCAGCAACGAGCATAAACAATTTGCTTAATAAAGACCTACAGGAAGAGCTAAAGCAGAAGGGAGACTGATAAGGAGACCTACACAAAACTGCAGCAGGGAGAGTGATGAGGTAGCAGAAGCAAAATGTTTGCAGGGTTCCATCTAGTTTTGACTCTGAGTAATATTTCATTAGGGATGCAAAAGATGTTGCAAAGTGCACACTCAGGAACAAAAGAAAAAGGGCAAAACCACAGCAATACATATGTATCTACAGAATTGAAGTGAGAAGTAGCAAAAGGAAATTCAATGTAAAACAAAACTTGCACTAACCCCTACTAACACAACCCAAAGCAGCATCATCCGAGAAGGAGTAATCCAAAATAAACAATGTCAGGCACTTAGGAAGAACAAAACTGGACAGAAAATTTTTCATTGGTTGTAAATGGTGGATAAGAAATACCATAAAGCCAATAGATCACAGTGAAGACAGGTGATGAACTCTCACCTGTGCAGTGCTGAGGCAGGTGAGAACCCTCATTATGTACCAAACAACCTAATTAGAAAAGCTGGAGAGGGTTCAAATGACAAAAGGCAGAAATTATTAAGATGTAAAGGTACAGCATTTGAGGAGACTATGACATTAAAATTTCATTATTCAGCTTGGCTCTGTTATAATAAGACTTCAATTGTGCCATCAACTGCATGTCCTACACAGAGAAAATTGAAGAACGATGTCTGGGGGCTGGTCATGTACAATCACTTTTTCTGATGCCTGTAGCTCTGTTACTGGCACAGAGACAAAGATTATGAGTTTACTCATGTGGAGCCCACATACCTCCATAGAAAATGGAAAGGGCAAGGAGTGAGGCTCTGTTGTGTTTCTTGCAAAAGGAAAGATCAAACTTCAAAGCCTAGAGAAAAGGGGGGTGGCACAGACTTAAGCCGTGCATTCACGTTTCTAAATCTGAATGACTCCAACATTTATATAGATAAGACAGAGCTACCTTTTAGATTGCTACATAGGCAATATAATCTCTGCAACCCTAGCTGAGATTGATGCTAAATGCACGTCAGACATGTCAGGGTTCAGGGTTCAGGCCCCTCAAGAATACTAAGCACAACTTCTGCAATTATTTTCTTACTTTACTTTGTCTTTCTGATTGTAATAGATTTTTTTTTCCCCTTAAATAAATCCCTTTATTTCTTACCATCTCTCAGATCATCCCAATTATTTATCATTATTCCTTGCTATTTTTAATGCTTAACATCTGTTTGAAGAATGCATACTCCAGCCTTGAAAAAGAGACTGCTAGTTTATTGAAGAAAATTATAGGTAGATAATGCTGAGAAAATAGTGTCAGAATAACATAGAAATGAGGCAATATATATGGTTGGAAAAATCTGATGTATTAAATACTATGTAACTGCTCGGCAAAAGGTCATGGAGGTGGTCAGCTATCATTTCTAGACACCTGATTTAAATCAGACACAGGCCAGAGTTGATAAAAATCTTAATATCCATTAATGACCTCGTGCTGTCAGCTCAGCTCTGATTATTAGGCAGGTAACTGTCCAAAAGAGGCGTGGGCTGACACACATGCATAGAGCAGCAGGCTGCCTTATTGCCAGTAACTAAACAGGTCAAGACAAGTATGAAATATTCTTTTGATGGCTAAGCATTAGCTCCCAATTCAGGACTGAGACACGCCTGAATGATGTGGAGAATGAGCACTCTGGCTGCATTCACTCTCCGGCATTTCCCTTTGGAAGAGGATTTACCAGGGAGATTACAAAAGACACAAAAGCATCTCCTTTCATCTGCCTGCTGCTGCATGGCCATATCCTGACACAGAGCTGGAAAGCAGATGTGCTTCTTCAGGGTCCTCTGTCCTTATCACAGCTACCAGTCCCATTCCAGTCTTTCAGCAGCAATATCAATCCCCCAGCTTTTCTAAATATCTAACTGCATCTTTCCACGTAGCAATTTAAGCCACCATAGAGATGCACAGTTATGGCTGCTGTAGGATTTTGTTTCCAAGATCTCTTTTTCATTTTCTCAGAAATATCTGTCTCTTGAGCCAAAACTTCCCAAGATTGCTCTATGCCTGAGGGAGAATTTTGTTTTGTCTTTTTGAAAGCTTGATCAAATGCTGTACAGCCAGGGCTTTAGAGCAAGGAGACGAAAGGAAAAGGATGTGGTTTTTTTATAGCAAAAAATAGTTGCGACTTTATTTGAGTTTTCTTTATAGTTTCAGCCACAAAGAGATCAACTGCAAAAATGTTTGACAGGATGGTAGCTTTTACAGAGGATATTATGAGGTTTTGAAAGTCATATTTAGTGACGCAGGGAATTTTGTGCACACGCTCTCTTCTCTCAGCTCCAGCACCTCTAATAATACCACTGCCAAACAGCATTCTCTGAGAGGGCTGCTTGCTGTCTCAATCTTTCTGACTTTTCTTTTTTTAATTTTGAAATGCTTCCTTTTAGATTCAGAAAGCTTTTGTGAGTTAAAGCAATGCTCGTATAACCTATCTGCATTCAAAACAAAGGAGTGAGAATGGGAAGAAATCCAAAAACACCATCTCACAAAATATATTCAAATCCTCCAACACTTTTAAGGTAACATTATGCCAGTGAGTTAGCTATTTAC